TGTAACAACTGTATCGAGATCAGCAGATGTGAAAGTAATTGGTTGATTCTTCCATTCAGCATCGTCGATCTTCCTCTTCTGAGCTCGGTTTTGATGTTTAACCTCCCTAACATACAGCTTTCGCTGCTTAGAGCTCAGTCCACCTGCTTCGAGGCCTCCTGTAATCATATGTATGATTCTAGCTGGTGGTGGGAGTGGAGGTGAGGTTTGTTGATATCCCACACCTTGCCTATTTGGGGGATTGCGGGCTCCTTAAGGCTGCGGCCTCTGCTCTCTGACAAACCTCGGTTGTTCGGCTCTCTGAACATACTCATTCAGCATTCCCTTCTGAGCTAAACTTTCTAGTTCGGACTTTAAGCTGTTACACTGCTCTGTAGTATGGCCGTGATCCTGGTGAAAATCACAATATCTGGTATGGTCTCGACTAGCAGCAGCAGTTCGCATTGGGCCAGGACGTCTCAAGTCCATTTTGTTTTTAATCTGCATGAAAATTTGTGACCTCGGCATATTAAATGGGGTCCAATTAACTGGAGGTTTACCTGCAGACTGTTGCTGGGGTGTTGAGTTCGGCTTTCCGAATCTCGGTGGGGAGGTCAATATCGAACCTCAGTTCTGCACCATCCTCATCCTTTTCCTGCTCGGATTGTCGTTTCTCCATTCTGGGTTCTGGTTTTTAGAGGGGGGTGGGTTTTGTGCCAGGGCATACTCCTCAGCAGTTATAAACTTAAGAGACCGATCATTCACCTCGCTAAAGGTGGTGACAGCATGTTTGATCAAACTGTCTCTGAACCTATCATGTTTGAGACCAGCAATTACAGCTGCAATGCCCACAGCTTGGTCAAAAGAACTAACCTCCAATACTGCATCATTGAATCTGCTCATGTAGTTCTTCAGAGACTCCCCGTCTCTCTGTTTAACCCTCATCAACTCAGAAGTAGTTTTCCTAATCAACCTTCTACTGGAAAACTTAGTGGCAAAGGCAGATGCCATTTCTGTATAAGAGCTAATCAACCTCGGAGGTAAACTGTAATACCAAGTTCGAGCATTACCTCACAGAGTAGAGGGGAAAATTTTGCACATCAGCGCGTCAGAGGCGTTCTGAGCTTGCATGCATGAGTAAAAAGCATGCAGGTGATCATCGGGATCCTTCGTCCCATCATAAGTCTCCAATTGTGGTATTTTGAAGCCAGTAGGATAGGGTTCCAGCGTAATGTTGGTATTCAAGGGGTGAGGTATGGAATTAGCAGCATGGTGTGGGGGTGGGGCACCTCGGTGTTCAGCTACCAGCTTTTCTAAGCTATCAAGGCGACGGGTAACATCATCAGGGATGGGTTGTTGAGCGGGTGCTATGTGGGATTGACCTTGGGATTCACTAACAGCGGGAGTAGGTTGAACTGGTTGGGGGTTTTGTTGTGGAGCTGGGGGTTGTTGAGCAGGGTTTAGTAAATTAATGAGGGGATCACCAGGATTATTTCTAGCTAGAAGTTGAGCTAGTACCAACTGAAAAACACCAAACTGTTGCTGCATGGCAACAAGCTGAGCTGTCACCACGTCTTGGTTGGCCGTGGAAGTTGAATTGTGAGCTGAGGTATGGGGTTGGTTTTCATCTCCTCCTTCTGCATGATCAACAAGAGGGAATATGGTTGGGACCTGAGGTGGAAATTGAGGTGGGATTTGAGGTGGGATCAGAGGTGGAAGGTTGTTGGGAGGTTGGCCTTGCCCATGAGGCAGAGATGAATTACCAGCTCGGATCGATCGAGTGTGAACCATGACGGAAGAGCAACTAGAGAGCTTTCAGTTCGATTCCCACAGACGGCGCCAATGTAATTGCACCAAACCAAAAGTCTTTCTCCAGTCCGCGCTTGCGCTTCGAGATAACCTGCAAAGCCCCGAGGTGGAACTCGGGGTAGACACTCCGATGCTTAAGTTAGCAATAATCGGGGCTACCTTTAAGGCGGAGATAAGAAAAGCTTAGGGTTGGTTTCAATTACCTTTTTGACGTGGCCTGGTGGGGTATTTATAGGATCCAATGAGGAACCCACGTGGCATGCCAAG